CATTCATTGTGTATGGCATGCTAAAATGATTTTCTTCCAGATCAATTTGTTGTCTGATCTGTATTTTAGGCTGTTTGTTCGAAGCTTTACCATTGAGCAGAAGTTGCTGAACCACCTGGTTGGCTGTGCTGTTCTGGTGTTGCTGTAATTTCTTTGGGTCATTACTCAGCTTGTGAATGGTTAACCAGGCTTTCCTACTGGTGTGCGTCATATCTATTCTTTTGATTGTCTCTTTCTGTTTCCATCCCTTTCTTCTTGGAGCTTGTTAGTTAGGGCTGTCCCTGCCAAAATAATGTTTTCTAGATCTTTGAAACATTTGCTGGTATTTTTAGTATGGGAGTAAACCCTGGTATATGCTCACTTTTTCATCTTCAGGGCTGCATCCTGGAGGCTAGTTTCTGCTGATGCAGTTGCCATTTCTTGGGATAGAAATGAGTTCAGCTGTGATGCTGCAGACTAGTACTTGGAGACTACTAAGTCCTAGTTAGTATTCATACCTGTGAAATAACGCTGCTTGCCAGATTTCATCTCCAACCATGCCAGTGTGAGTAAGATTTGGTCTTTTATTGAGCAAAATAAATGAATGTGAAGGTGGTTGTTTCATTTCATGTTATTGCAGAACCAAAATGATGGAAGGAACCAAAAAAATATCAGGAGGAGACTCTTCTGATTTTATTTATTTATTTATTTTAATACATTAAAAATAGGTTAGGGAACCTACCACTGTCAGACTTAAGGGTTCTGGTTCCAAGAAAGCATGGTGTTCCATAACACTGCTTTAGGAGTGTTCAAGCTAGTATGCCAGGGCTTCCTCCCTGTTCTTCAAAATACCCACTGCAGATCTTCTGGGCAGTATTTCCGTGTCACACTATATAGGCCAGTGGGTCTCAGCCTTTTTGGATCAGAAGCGCCCTTCCATAACTTCGTGAACTGAGTGCCACTTAATTTCAAACACTGAGTTCACAGGGCTTACCCCTTTAGAAAGGGGCTGGGAAGTAGGGGTGGGGGGGATTGTCCAGGCAAGGATAAGCTTGAGCCTGGGTTATCTGCTTAGCTCATACCCGTGGGCGACTGGTGCCACCTTAGTCGGGGGGGGGGGGGGGG